ATTTTGTTCTGTAGTCTCTGAGAAAAAGAGATTTTCATGATCTTAAGAACCCTTAACACCAAAACACATATAAGAAAAATCAGCAGATATACTTTAACCCTTTCTCTACCGGCACTTTTTAGGTGATTTTGGAGACTTTTTGATATGACATTATTAAATTATTTTAAACTTTTTAATTCAAGGAGAAAACTAGGTATATTGTATATCATTTTGTAGGGAATGTCTTAGAGATGATATTTTATGATCAGATACTCAACAACTGACCTTATTAGTAAAAATTGAGGTTAAAGGTCAATTAATGGCAAAATTTTATGGAATTTTTTGATACCTTTTAATCTTCAAGCTAAATATTTAGTATGATGTATTTTGAAATAGGAAATCTTATATATAATCAAAAAGGAGCATGATATTGTGCTACATGAAACACATAAACTTTTTTTTTCAATTCTGTATATAACTACTCAAAAGCGGTTGCTTAGCCAGAATTTTTTTTTTTAATTTTCGGGCAAGAATTTTCGTTTATTACTTATCTTAGACACATTAATGCATCCCAGCACATATAAAAGTTAGATGTGAGGTCATAAAATTACAAGGGACGAACAGCAGATAAAATGTCTTAAAGTTTGATCTCATTTGAACTATTTTAGGAGGTCAAAGGTCAAATAAGTGCAAAAGTTTCATCAATTTTTTCAACACTTTTCAATATATGCTATAATTTTACACAATGGATGCTGAAATGGAAAATTATAAATATACCCTCAAGAAGGTATCAAAACTGCAATATTCATGCATCATTTTAGTTCAAATATCTGTTTTATGACCTTTAAGTGGTTGCTAAGCAACAACATTTTAAAGTTTTTGGCATATTTGTGATTTCACATTCTGGACACATTTTCGACACTTTTTGTATATTTCATGATATTGTATGTAAGATATGGACCATGAAGATGAAAGAACATTTTTGTATCAAAAATTGACCTTGAAACTTTTGTTCTTAAGGGGGTAAAGGTCATATCAGTACAGAATTCTGCTTTAAATTGTAAGTAAATAACCATTTTGAAATGCTTCAATCATGGATAAATCATCTAATAGTTGACCTGATAAAAATGGCGAACAACAAAATTTGTAAGCAAAAAATTCTGGTCTGCTTCTTACAAACCCCTATCAAAACATGCATACAATCTTTTTGGTAAACAAAAAAAAATCCATTCTCTTGATGCCATTAAAAATAATCTTTATTTTCATGGATTTAATCTAACAAGAAAAAATAAACTAAATGATTTCATTACAAGATTTTTTTCTGGAATAACAGAGCGTAAGGAGTACAATAAAGACTTGACGTGTTATCTTAGAGGGAAAAAATTATAATAGATAGCATTGGCAATATTTAACACAAAACTGTTTAGTCAATAAGTTGAAAATGCGACGTTTATATCCAAATATACAAATCCAGAAATATTGCAAGATGAATTCCAAATCAGACTGAAATCTTCAACAATATGTTGAATAGCACTTTTACTTTATGTCCACCATTCTTTTATCAATTGTCATTTCTCTGTAAGACTGGGGGAAATTCTTTGACTTGTCCAAGACATTATTATTTGCTGTCAAGTACAAGTAATCAGCTGCTATCCTGTAAAAGATTTAAATATTTTGAAATAGATACATGGCATTGTGTATATGAATTTACATTTATAAATAAAATTAAGAATAACGCATTCCAAAATCAAAACAGAAAATCTTTTTTTCTGTTTTAAGCATTTTGCCCTTAGGTTTTGACAAAACTCAACAAATAACACAGTTTACAAGATATTTATTGGTGCAAATACTAAAAGTTAAAAGAACGCAAGTCATCGTTTACATAGCTAGTTTTATGGAGTAAATTTCCTCCCAAAAACTATCACTGAAACAGTTTTCACTACCACATTACAATTTGAAAAAGACAAACATCTACAGGGTAAATTTCCTCTCAAAAATGACTCTGATACAGTTAACATTCAGTAGTCAATTCAAAAGCGACTATCCATGATTAAACAAAATTTTACGGAGTAAATTTCCTCCCAAAGAATATCACTGATAAAGTATTCACTACAACAATTACAATTTGAAAATAGCAAAAATCTAGAGAGTAAATTTCCTCTCTAAATGCACATTGGTGCGTTGCACATTCAGTATTTCAATGCCAAATCAACCATCGTTTACATTGCTAGATTTTACAGAGTAAATTTCCTCCCAAAGCTTTTCACTGATACAGTGTTCACTACTTTCATTACAGTTTGTTATAAACAAAAATCTAGAGAGTAAATTTCCTCTCTAAATTCACGTCGGTGTATTGTACATTCAGTATTTCAATGCCAAATCAACCATCGTTTACACAGCTAGATTTTACGGAGTAAATTTCCTCCCAAAGAATTTCACTGATACAGTGTTCACTACTAACATTGCAAATTAGTTCTAACAAATATCTACAGAGTAAATTTCCTCTCTAAATTCACGTCGGTGCATTGTACATTCAGTATTTCAAAGCCAAAGAAACCATCGTTTACATAGCTACACTTTACGGAGTAAATTTCCTCCCAAAGAATATCACTGATACATTGTTTCCCACTACATTTCAAAATAGAAAAAAAAGTCTACGGAGAAAATTTCCTCTCAAAATGCACATCGCTGCATTGTACATTCAGTATTTCAAATCAACCATCGTTTACACAGCTAGATTTTACGGAGTAAATTTCCTCCCAAAGACTATCACTGATATGGTGTACACAACTACATTACAATTTGAAAATAGCAAAAATCTAGAGAGGAAATTTCCTCTCAAAAAGACAATCATACAGTAAACATACAGTAGTCAATTCAAAAGCGACAATCATTTATAAAACAAGACTTTACGGAGTAAATTTCCTCCCAAAGAATTTCACTGATACAGTGTTCACTACTTACATTACAGTTTGTTATTAACGAAAATCTAGAGAGTAAATTTCCTCTCAAAATTCACGTCGGTGTATTGTACATTCAGTATTTCAATGCCAAATCAACTATCGTGAACATAGCTAGATGTTACGGAGTAAATTTCCTCCCAAAGCATATCACTGATACATTGTTCACTAATATCATTATAGTTTGTTTATAACAAAAATCTACAGAGTAAATTTCCTCTCTAAATTCACGTCGGTACGTTGTTTATTTAGTATTTCAAAGTCAAAGAATCCATCATTTACACAGCTAGATTTTACGGAGTAAATTTCCTCTCAAAGAATATAACTGATAAAGTGTACACAACTACATTAAAATTTGAAATAGCAATAATCTAGAGAGAAAATTTCCTCTCAAAATGACATTCATACAGTAAACATACAGTAGTCAATTCAGATGCGACTATCCTTTATATAACAAGACTTTACGGAGTAAATTTCCTCCCCAAGAATTTCACTGATTGAGTGTTCACTACTTATATTACAGTTTGTTATTAACAAAAATCCAGAGAGTAAATTTCCTCTGTAAATTCACGTCGGTGCATTGTACATTCAGTATTTAAAAGCCAAATCAACCATCGTTTATGCAGCTAGATTTTATGGAGTAAATTTCCTCCCAAAGACTATCACTGATATAATGTTCACTACCACATTACAATTTGAAAAAAGGCAAAAATCTACAGGGTAAATTTCCTCTCAAAAATGACACTGATACAGTTAGCATACAGTAGTGAATTCAAAAGCGACTATCCTTGATATAACAATATTTTACGGAGTAAATTTCCTCCCAAAGAATATCACTGATACAGTATTCACCACAACAATTACAATTTGAAAATAGCAAAAATTTACAGAGTAAATTTCCTCTCTAAACTCACATTGGTGCATTGTACGTTCAGTATTTCAAAGCCAAAACAACCATCATTATCATACTAGATTTTACATTCATTATTCGCCGATAGAAAATAAACATTTTATATAGAAAACAGCAGAATATCAGAGGGTTAATTTCCTCTAAAAAAAACTTTTTACAGGAAAAAAATACATTTTACATCTTATTCAAAAAAAGACTTTCAAGGGACATTTTTATCTCGATATTCTAATGATGAAATACATTATTATTTAATCTATAAATAAACAACAAATAATCTATACAAACACATACAGTTTTTTTGACTGATTTCAAGGCGTATTCAACGAGGGAAGGGGGTTCAGTGCGCATGCAGTAGCATGGTGATGTCACAAATAATATCTCAAAGTACGTTGAAAACTGTATTGTCCAGTCTATATCCGCGAAGAAAAAAAGGTGAAGGAGGCAAGTCCCTCTCTTGATTATTGTCGAACAGTTTGATTTCAAACACATCTATCACATTTACTTTCTTTGACCGAAGCGATACTTCTATGCCTTCCTTATGGCTGATGCCATTGAACACTTGCTGAATGCATTCCCAACATGTCCAAAGGAAATATGGCCGCCATATTTTGAACAAATCCATAGTTGACCTATTGATAAAATTTTTAAACTCGTAAATCATCTCATATAATTGTTTTCAAACTTTCAATTTTTCAAAACTCATGGGCATTTATTTCTTCAAGCATGCCGGATTACATAATGTGCACCACAGTCGAGTAGTGTTGCTTCCACAATTTTTGTAAAATCGAAAAAAAGTTTTTCCGTTGGTTTTCCGTATGAAAATTTCATTCATCTAAAGAACGCGTACATATACCCTCAGTCTACACACACGTGTAGACAAACTAAGACAAGATAGATTTTATTTGAGAATGATGTGCCTTTATCATATAAATCCAGATCATATACATGTACTATTGCATGAAACACGATTTTGCATTCAGATGAGTTCAGACAGGACATATGCAATTAAAACACGTATTACTACCGCCATTATTTTTAAAAGGTTCAGAGAGGTTAATGATAACATGTACATGCATGCGGGTAGTTTTACTCCAAATAAAATGATAGCTTAAGTGTTTAGCATTTCACACAATAAAAAAACCCAGCAGGCATTTCAACGTTGATTCAACGTTGAATCAACGTTGCACTTCAACGTTGAATCAACGTTGAATTTTGGTTGCATATGAAAGTTGAGGCAACGTTGAGACACAACGTTGTTTCAACGTCAATTTTCAACGTTGAATAAACGTTGAAAATGGGTCGAATTTTTGGTTGATTTATGGTTGATTTTTGGTTGCAAATGAAAGTTGAGGCAACGTTGAAGCTTCAACGTTGTTTCAACGTCAAATATCAACATTGAACAAAAGTGAACATTGGTTGAAATTAGGTTGAGATTTGGTTGAAATTTTTCGGTTGTACAAACGTTGATATTTGGTTGAAATCACGTTGAATTCATATAACATTTTGCTTTATAAACAAATACATTTCAAATTCAAATAAAAATTTTTATTCAAGTTGCGTAATATTTATATAAGTTGTAATCCAGTATTATGATTGTGAGAGAATTTATTTTACATGTTTTTTTTAAAACAAACACAAATTCGGATTCAATCACTGAATCTCAAAAATCACTGCTTGACAAAATATATATTCCTAGTGAAAAGTGTGTCACAGTAATCACATCCAGGTCCTTCAAAGTCTGCCTTACACTATTAAGTTCCACAAAGTGGCAGATCCATTGATTTTAATCACGCATATAGCTAAGTCCCACGAATGAAAGAAATGAACAGGAGAATCCACCCTCTAAAGCAAAAGCCTATTGATAAAAGAAATAAAGATGTTAAAGCCATTTGTTCGATAAAATGTACGTAACACGTTATTTCAAAGGATAAAAATAAATATACATGAATGATTTAAAAAATCAGACAAAGAAATATATTCCGGTACTCGGATTTAATTAACATGATAAAAAGAATTATAGTTGACTTCATGTTAAAATTCGTATGAGTATGCTTATAAATAATTATTACTTAAGAAAAATGTTACAGACATACATATACATAGTGTACTTACAAAATGTTGCATTTCTTTGTATAATTTTCACGGGCGAAGAATCTGATGCAATCAAGGCTGAGTATACAATCAATTCCCTGCACCACTGGTTTAATGAACCTTACGACGAACTACAATTAGTTAAATTGTATAATATATTTGTAGACTAGCTTATATTTCATAACCAAATGAATATCAACAAAACACATAATACAAGAACCAAGGATGTGCATTTCACGCAGATTTTGAATATACTTATAAAACAAGAACAGATACTAAAAAAACTTAATTTCTTAAATTCATGAAAAGGAAATAATACTTACTGAGCAGAAGTTGATATTCCAGCCTTAATCCTTGTGTATATAGCTTGAAAACACAATAAATATGAACAGCAAGGAGACGCGCACTTTTTGTCCATCAGTTGAATTCAAATTTTGACCTAGATAAGCTGCAAACAGCTATACTCTGCCCAGCAAGAAAATTGCATAACAAGGTTATCCTGACACTGAAACTGACCAACTAAGCGAGAGGCACTCCTTATCTGATATTTTGAAGGTTTTTGGGGAGTGGATCTAAAGTAATGCAACTTGACCGGGGTTTATTTTCTGAATTTTTTTTTATATTTTGTGAAAAGAAAGATTATAGAATTGATACACACAACAAAAAGCACAATCTAATAAAATAAGACTTCTTTGATTCGCTCTGTATACGTATAATCTGCACAAGAGTTTACGGCACGGATCCATATTATGAGTCTAATTTTAAGAACATTAATTTGGAATAATTATTTTTATTAATACTATAGTAACATGGAATTCCAGTGAGATGTTGGATAACGATGTTATTATTTATTAAAAGCTAATATTTAACATATTTTATAAATATATGTAAAAAAAAAATAGCATTCACAATTTATTAAAAATAAAAAACAAACTTTTTTGAAACATAATTCGACCCGGTCCTGATTTTCCCAACCCGGCCATTTTAAACACAAGTTGTTGCAGATGCAAATGTTAGAACAAACTATATAAAGTTCAACAGGGATTGTATAATTTTTATTAATCAGAATTCGTATTTATATGATCTAATTAAGAAAAGAAAAGTTTTGTCTGACACCGTAACTTCTCGGCAAAACAAAACGTGTTTCTCCGAGCTCGCTGGATGCGTGTGACAGCTCCATTGCACGTGTGTAGACCAAGGCTACAGGTACATGTAGGCCTATGTGTACTGTTTGTTAGGAGACTGGGTGACCGTAATGCTATGGAATCACGATATTTACAACAGTTCCATAATTAGACAGTGCAGTTTTTTTTTTATTAACGTCATTATAAACACTGTTAAACATATTAAATTCTCGATTAGGAGCAATATGTGCTCAGCATGTATTCTTTAGGTCTAATGAGGTATCACATTGCCCATCCTGCCGAAGTCGCAATTACTTTCAGTCACTCAATTAAGTGAAAAAAACTTTATTGCCTAGATATCAAGAAAAATTATGCTTAAATAAAAGAATGCATTTTTTTAAATTCTAAAAATGATGTACATATAAATTTGAATTTTTAAGTAAGCAACAAAATTTTATCAGTATTGCTTTTTCCTTATTAATTTTTTTATTATATATTTTTAAAAGTTGTTTTTAGAGGTATAGATAGATATACTTTCAAAGAAAGGAAACATGCCAAGAAAACATATTTGGAGAGCGAACTCAATAAAAGCTGAATTAACGTTAATCTGTAAAACTTCCCCGAGAGATTTTTGCACGGCAATTAATGTCTACAGTTAATTGGGTTTAAAACAAAGGTACAAAAGTAATTATTTAGAATCCTTTGCACCCATTCTTTTTTTTTTGGGGGGGGGGGGTCATATTAATCAATTACTGTAAAAAAAAGTAAATTAAAGAAAAAAACAGTTATAAAAATTATTAATTTTACAATGCTGTGGGAAACTAAATCGTAAGTAGAAATAAGCTATCTTTCAATTTTTGTTTTACGTATTTCCATATAATTCTATTTCCCTTTGTATGAATTAACTTCGGGTACGATATAACTTGGTAAATCTGGAATTTCTGCGAGTTGAATTATTGGGAAAAGGGTACGAAATTCCCGGAAGTTGGTATCACTTCCTGGTTAAACAAGAGGGAGGAGGAGTACTAAATGGGTAGAGGTATCACACAGGTAATTGACCGATCAAAATAAACTTAGTCAAATATCAAATTGATTTTCCTTTCTTTTGAAACGTTTTTCTATTCTCTTCCAATCCTTTTTTACAACTTTTGTACCTGTGCCTAGTAAATTTTATGTACTTTTTGAACATTAATAAAGGTTTTTTTTAATGAGCTTTTTTCGGGCATGGGGGCTACAACCTGTGATGCACTAGGAATGTTTATAAAGACATTAAAAAACGCGTGAATTTGAAGTAGCCCTGTTTGCAAATGGAAAAAGTCAGAAAATGCCGCGTAGGTACCGTTTTGTGTGTGAGGATGTTTTAGCTAGTGTGACAGGTAATGTTTAACATCTCCTGTTAAATATTTTTTTCAAGTAAACAATTATCAGATTCTTTTTTTACGATTTGTTTGATGTAAACATTTACCGTTGTGATACCTAGACACATCCTGATTGGCTATGTTAAAATTTTCATTTTAATGTAAAAATTTCACTTATAGAAATAAATGAAAGAATGTATCAAGTATTTTTCTTTAACCAAAAAAGCTGAAAACCTAGGATCCACCCTCCTGAAATCAAAATCTACTGCCGTAAACTGTCTTGCTAGCGTTTGGAGAATACGGGTGATTTGCATCAATTACACTTTTATTGACTTCATTGGGCGCGTCAATCGCACAAGATTTCTTTTAATGTACATGTTTACTGTTCATATTTTTGTTACATCTTGAAAAATAAATATTTTTATTAATGTATTAATTAATATACTGTCACATCAAATAAATATACATATGCGATACATGTAGTAGTAGAATATATGTTAAACTTGTAACTTAGTAAAATGCAATAAACGTCAATGGATTTACATAATTTACAATTTCTCAGATGTAAGTTTGCGCTTTCAGGTTTGAAAGATAATATATTAAGATGCTTACAAAATTTTGAAATAACGGTTTTATATTAATTAAGATCAGATGTTATAACACCCAAAACACCATTATCGAATACAAGTCGTAAATAATACATTACAGTTAGGATTATAGAAAATATAGGCATATAAAAAGGAAGGCGATATACTAGTATATATATTTTTAAATTTAATTTTTAAATGATTATATTATTTGAGTTTATAAAATTAAAAGCTTAAAACAAGTTTTAGAAGTTTTGCTTTTGCGTTAGCTTTTTCTAAAGTCTATTTTTCTCTTTTTTGACCCCATGATTTTTAGTGTCGATAGGTCAACTACAACGAATAACAGTCAATGATTTTCAATCACATTTTTGAAACCTAAATATCGGTAATTGCTGCATGAAAGATAATGTCTATGCAATTGCAGCAGAGTACACATATCAACAAAATGTAAATAGCTAACTGAGGCGACTTATGATTTTTTAAGGCCTAGATTTTGATGGTGAAAAAGTATGGAACTTACAGCTTGATTTAGGTCAGAATATTATGACATGGTCGCAGCTCTATCCAATACAAGGGTTTGATTACAAATGTAACAGCGGGGATTCACGCAACGGAAAAGAAAATGATGAAATGATAAGAAACAGACCATCTCAATTTTCTCTTACTACAACCTATTAACGCTAAATCATTCATTTATCTTGAAAACAATGAATTTATTTTCAGGTTCTGTGTGAAAACAGTTTATTTTTCCGTTTCCGGTTACATGTGTATTATCTCCACATGAGGATTTGTGTGTAAGGCAGTTTTGAAATTGGCGGTATCGGATATTTGCATTGTGCCCAGTGGCTTCTCCACTTAAAAGTTGCAAGGAACACGAAGCAAGTTAGAGAAAGAAAACCAAGTTAGACCGCCCTTCAATAGGTGAATAAAATTATTTCAGGAGTGGTTTAAGTGACGACTGGATATATAAAAGTGACTGTTTTCTGATGAATGGAGAAATAAGGAAACCATGCAAGACCAAACATTGAATAATAAAGGTAAATTTATAATTATATATGTATATATGTTACGATAAATGTAATTGAGGTAGTGTCTGGCATATGAATTCTATCCTTAACTACAGTACTAGTTCCATGAGGATTTCGATCCTTGGTCAAGGTGGTTGTTTTCTTTATTGTGTGAAATACTAAACACTTTAGCGATCAATTATTTGCAGTTAAACTACCCGCATGTACATATTATCATTTAACTCTCTGAACTCCCCTTTTGGCGTTAGTAATTAGTGTTTTAGTAGCAAATGTCCTGCCTGAACTAATCTGCATTCAAAATCGTGTTTCATGCAAATGTATATGATCTGGATTTATATGAGAAAATTTACATCATCCTCAAAAAAATTTATCTTGTCTTAGTTTGTCTAAATGTGTGTGTAGACTGGGGGTATATATACGCGTTCTTTAGATGAATGAATTTTCCATACGAAAAACCAACGGAAAAATTATTTTTTGATTTTACATTGTACAAGCAATACTGCTCGACTGTAGTGTGCGCAACATGTATTCTGGCGTGCCTGAAGAAATAAATGCCCATGGGATTTGAAAAATTGAAAGTTTAAAAATAATTTTATGAGATGATTTACGAGTTTTAAAATTTTATCAATAGGTCAGCTATGGATTTGTTAAAAATATGGCGGCCAAATTTCCTTTGGACATGTTTGAAATGCATTCAGCAAGTGTTCAATGGCATCAGCCTTAAGGAAAGCATAGAAGTGGAGCTTCGGTCAAAGAAAGTAAATGTGATAGATGTGTTTGAAATCAAACTGTTCGACAATAATCAAGAGAGGGACTTGCCTCCTTCACCTTTTTTCTTGGCGGATATAGACTGGACAATACAGTTTTCAACGTACCTTGAGATATTGTTTGTGACGTCACCATGCTACTGTATGCGCATTGAACCCCCTCCCCTCGTTGAATACGCCTTGAAATCAGTAAAAAAAACTGCATGTGTTTGTATAGATTATTTGTTGTTTATTTATAGATTAAATAATAATGTATTTCATCATAACTATATTGAGATAAAAATGTCCCTCGAAAGTCATTTATTAAATAAGATGTAAAATGTATGTTTTTTTTCTGTAAAAAGTGATCAATTTATTTTTAGATGTTTATTTTCTATCTGCGAATAATGAATTTAAAATCTAGTATGTTAAAGATGGTTGCTTTGGCTTTGAAATACTGAATGTACAATGCACCAATGTGAGTTTAGAGAGGAAATTTACTCTGTAAATTTTTGCTATTTTCAAATTGTAATTGTTGTGGTGAAAACTGTATCAGTGATATCTTTGGGCAGGAAATTTACTCCGTAAAATATTGTTATATCAAGGATAGTCGCTTTTGAATTGACTACTGTATGCTAACTGTATCAGTGTCATTTTTGAGAGGAAATTTACCCTGTAGATTTTTGCCTTTTTCAAATTGTAATGT